ATAATGGAATTTATATGGGGGCCTTGATCTGCTGGGTAATGTGCTGTTAGGACAATTAACTCTTTTTTAAACAACAAAAATCGTTTGTTAAGTCCCAATTGAACAAGGTTCATCGCAATTAATGGAATATGAGAATCACAATCTAAGGAACATATATTTTTGTTCAACGTTGTCCAGTTGTTGTGCAGGTTGATTTATGTTATAGGTTTTGAATAAAATGCACATTACATTATGTACTTTTGTTTATATAATTCTTAAACTATGAAATATAAATATATGTATTTGTTGAAAAGATATATTTGACTATCAGTAATCTCACTCTTCAATGAATAGGAAACACTGCAGGACTCCAACAAGCTTCTGAATTATCTTGTGGAGGAATTGCTCATTAAAGAGCTTTTGTTCCAAAGCATTCCTCTTGTTAGTGATAAGTTTTAATTGACTCTTTTGTATTAGTTGAAGCTTTTGTTCCAAAGCATTCCTCTTGTTCTTGTGATGAGTTTCAAGTGACTCGTTTTCTATTAGTTGAAGTTTTTGGTTGTCTCGTAGACTTGAATCGTAATAAAACTTAACAAGAGGTCACGTGTTCAAATCTCACTATCATTTTTTGCATATTTAAAGTAATACTTGCTTATCATCGTAAAAGGATATGATTGCCTGACCCGATAGAAATCACAAACTATTCAACAATCCAAATATAAGAGTGGCTCGGATGCATTGAGCTCACAATTAATGATTCTGTTGGGCTAAACTCTTATTTAATGGTCAAACAAATTTAAGTCATTAATCTAAATATTTGATGTACATCAAATCTAAAGTCATCTCAATATAAATTAGTCATCTCTCATTCAATTAAGGTATATATTATAATCAGTTTTGCTATGAAGCCAACAATTGGCTTCATAGTGAGTCAATCTTCATAGTTTTGCTATGAAGTTTTTGGTTGTTCCTCATACTTAAGACTTAAAACTTATTAATACCTAACAAAGGAATATGGGACTCACATTACACCAAACCTACATAATTATCTTGTGAGAAATTGCTCATTATGCTTTTGTTCCAAAGCATTGCCCTTGTTAGAGAGATTAGTTTCAAATGACCCTTTTTCTATTAGTTCAAGTTTTTTGTTGTCTCTTAGACTTGAATCGTAATAAAACCTAACAAGAGGTCACATGTTCAAATCTCACTATCATATTTTTGCATATTAATGTTCTACTTGCTTATCATCGTGTAAAAAGATACGATTGCTTGACTCGATAGAAATCACAAACTATTCGACCATCCAAATATAAGAGTATGTGGCCCCCAAGCATTGGGCTCACTGCTCACAACTAATGATTTTGTTGGGCTAAACCATTACTTAATGATCAAACAAATTTGAGCCATTAATCTAAATATTTGATGGACGTATCAAATTAATCTAAAGTCATCTCAATATAAATTAGTCATCTCTCCTTCAAATAAGGTATACAGTATAATCCATCAATTTTCTACTACCTGAAGTGAAGAGGAGGTAAAAAATAGTTTGGATCAAAGAATTATATATCGTGCGATCATTCAGATCATAATTATGTCGTCTTCCACATTAAAAAAGAAAAAAAAAATATATATTAAATTATTTATTCAAGATCCGTAATTTATGCTTACACCAAATTAAAAAAAAAAAAGACAATGGTAACTGATAAATGAGGAGCAATGAAAATCACCATGTGAGGGCATTTGTGAAGACACAAGCAAAGATAAGTTGGACTGCACCATTTGCTGTTTGGCGAAAAGGGAAATGACCCGTGCTCAATAAGTCCAAGTAGAACTACTATTTATTATTATTATTATTTAAAAAAAACTATTATTTATTATTGAAAAATACCACATAATTGATAATAGTCCAAAAAAAATCTCAATAGTGTTTTGCTTGGTTTGGCTAATCTACTTCACTAGCTTCACTGCTCAACAAAAATGTAATGTTTCAGCACAACAACTTCATTAACTAGAGCATGCAAAAACAATATACAAGAGCGCTTGGATGAGATGGCTTGGGTCTCTTCCAGCTTAACCAGTGGTCTCGTGTTCGAGCCCTGGGAATGCAGCAGTGTTAAAACTCTTGAAGAAGAGCTTTGCCGCCCTTGTGGTCCTATCCGGCTCGATTCCGAATTAGTCGGTTCCCCTGTGGATTCGGAAACCGGAAGGTCCCTATACCAAAAAAAAAAAAAAAAAAAAACAATATATATGTGCTTAAAAATAATTTTCTGGTTAGCAATAATTAATTAGTTTTGGGTTTAGTAAAACAATTTATCATCAACTTCCAATATGAAACAACTGCATTTTATGCCATCTATAAATTTATTAACAAGTTTAGGACAAAGTTGCAAAATATGCTCAATGGCTTAGGGTAACTAGATATATAGATAAGAATTATTAAGTGTATGTTTGGTAAAAGTAGTTGATAGCTGATAAACTAACTTATATCTTATTAGTGATCATTTTTCGAACGTATAGTTTATAGCTGAAAAACTATCTTATATGATAAAAGTGTTTGGTAAGTTAGCTGAAATAACAATTTCAACGAACTTATTTGAAGAACTACACAAAGAAGCTTATAATATAAGCTCGGAATTTTTAAAAAAGCTGGTCACACCAAACGAAACTTATTTAAATACAGGGAGCTTATAAGCTAATCATGAAGTAAGCTTACTGGTATATTTTACAATTTTACAACAAGTTTTGAGTCCTATAGCCATCAACTAATTACTTAAATACCTCTCTTTTTTATTATTGATTGTGTTTTTCACTTTTTCTTAACAATAAGAAACAAAAACTAGCTAGGCCAATGAAACTGGGATCAACAAAGTAAAAAATGCTGTAAATAGTGAATAATTTTGTCTCAATTTCATTGGTGAAAGATTGGAACTTAAGACTGTCGCATTAATTAATTTGATTGGGAGCGTGACATTTTCTTTTATCATGTAATATGAAACAACATATATAATGCCTTTTGGCAGCTTGTACATAACGTTGCCTGGTTAATGGGGTTTTAATTGAGACTATTAGGAGATTCTATAGTCCCGTTACGGAAATATTTCATTGAGTTTTGTAATCGTCGGATCAATTATTCATAACAGTTGCATGATGATTTAACGGTTAAAAATCTCGACAGAATGATTCTGTAATGTGACTGTAGCATTTCTCTGTATTATTATCTGGACAATGTGTAAAACTACATGAATACCAACGCATGACCTTTTTTTTTCCATAATAGAAGGTCATTCTTTTTTCTAAATTAAATAAAATATATAGTGAAATACCAATGGAGCAGAGAATATTAGTTAAAAAAGGTATTATTTCAAAAGATGGCAATATTTTATTTTATTTTTCTTGTCAATGCATTACTTTTTTTTCCCATAATAGCAAGGTCATTATTTTTCTAAATTTAATAGATAGTGAAATACCAAGGGAGCAAATATTATTAGTTAAAATAGGTATTATTCAAATAGATGGCAATTTTATTTTATTTTTCTTGTCAATGCATGACTTTTTTTTTTCCATAATAGCAAGGTCATTATTTATCTAAATTGAATAAAATAGTGAAATACCATGGGAGCAGAGAATATATATTAATTAGAAATGTATTATTTCAATAGATGTCAATATTTTATTTTATTTTTCTTGACTTAAATTCCCTTAGCATTCGGTTACTAGTTGTTATTTAATATGTAAAGTTAATTTATTTTACACTCATCTATTTCAAATAGCTCTAATAGGTATTAGATTTCTTTTTTCTCGAAATTAACATTTCGATTCAAAAAGTATTTAAACCTTTTAATTATCAAATAAATAATTAAAAGTTATGACGGATCAAACATAGTGGTTTGGGGATTTTTGAGGAAGTTTTCCAATATTTAATTCATGTTAAATCTCTAATTTGCTTCAAAATACTGATTGATCAATCAACAACTGCAAAGTAATTACGAACTAGTATTTGATCCTGTGCATTTGCACATATATACATAAAGTATTATAAGTTATTTGTATGCATATATATTAAAATTATAAGTTAGATAATGATATTAAATTTTAAACACAGAGTATTATATATATATATATATATATATATATATATATGCATAAAAATATTAAAATTATAAGTTAGATACTGGCATTATGTTTTAAAATTTTATCATTGGTTAAAATAAATAGTAGATAATGAATTAATTGTAGATGAATCACTATATTGATTGCATA